GCTGGCAAGGATCCCGTCACAGGGGTGACCCTTTTAACCAGTTACGGGCTTCCTTTCTCGTCTGGGCCGAAGGTGGTCAGCACCTTGACGGGGCTCTGCTGTTGCTGCTGCGTGCTTGGTCCCGCCGCGTTGCAATGGGAGGAAAAGGAGCCCGATATCGGCGACGCTTCCCGCTTGAGCCCGTCCCTCCTCCTCCCCCTCCCCCACCTCCTCCTCCTCCTCCTCCTTCTCCTCCTCCTCCTCCTCTTCCTCCTCCCTCTCTCCTCTCATCCTCCCATCGTTGCCCTTCCGGCAGGCGGTGCGCCGCGCCCCCTGGGGGGGGGCTCTTGCTGGCTGCCTCCCAGAGGAGGACGGTGGGCCGCGGAGGGGCCCGCTTTGATGTGGTCGATCCTCTTCGATGTCGATTCGGGCGGGCTCGATCAGGTTCGAGTCCGATACTCCGAGGATCCGGTGCTCCCCGATGCTTGCATGGGCGCTGTTGTGCATCCTGACGCAGCCTGTTACCCGACTTGGTTCCGACTCCGTGCCGATGCGGCCCGGTCCGACGCATGCTCCGACCCGATCCAGCTTCCCGAATCGATGATGGTTGATCTTGCCGCGGTCGCCACGAAGGACACGGGCCCTGCGGGAGACGGGGCCCGAGGTTTTTCCCCGTTCTGGGCCTCCCGGGGCCCTCCACGGGCCCCGGACCCTCGGAAACCGACTCGGGATGAAGAGCTGGTCTTGGGAGGAGGGCCCCTGGGTCCAGGGCCCCTGTACCCTCGGGACCCATTCCCAGACAGGCGGTGTCCTGATTCATTCAACCTCGGGTGCTCGGAAGCCCCGACCCCTTCCTGGGCACTCTGCTTGGTTCTCCCGAGTCGTTCTGTGGAAGGGCCCAGGGGGCCAGGCGAGCGCGCCCCGGGGCCGAACACAGCCAGACCATCCCGTCAGAGACTGCCGATGCGACGCGGGCCTGTCTCGGTTCCCTGCATGCCAAGATCCTGCCGAGGTCCTGCTGTACGCCGCCTTCGCCATCGCCGGCTTCGCGCGCTTCGCGCCCGAAGTGAAGGGGACCGCGCCCCGAGCGCCGCCCCCGCCGCGCCTCGTGCACGGCACCGCGCCGTTTGCCGCGGGGCGAGGCGGGCCGGCCGAGCCGAGGCGGTCGGTTGTGCGGGGGAGTCTCTGGAGGAGGCGACGACGACGACGACGACGACGACGACGACGACGACGACGACAGTGGACGGCCTGCTGCTGCCTCGGATGTCTCGAGTGTCTATCGCGTTACGCTTCGGTCGGTGGTGCGGGGGGGGGGGTCTTGGAGGAGTGCGGTGGTGCGGTGGTGCCTGGCCGACCTGACCCGATCCCGATGCTCCGACGAGCCGATGCGGCTCGACGCTTGCACGGCGCTGCTGTGCATCCCTGTGCAGCCGACTCCGCTCGGTTGCGAAATCCGAACCCTGCCCTCGCCAATCAACAAGTCGGACGACCCGACGGGTGGCGGGGTTAGGGTTAGAAATTCGTGGAGCACGGTGCGAAATCCGAACCCTATCCCCCCGCATCCCATCGCTTAGGGAGAATCGATGGACGGTGTGGGTAGGGTTCGGATGCCGCCACCGAAAGGTACCGATGCTCGTTGCGTGATATCCGACCCCGAACTCAAATTCCGGGTCAGTTTCGGAGGTCGCCGTGGCGATCATGGCGGCCACACATCGGTGCAAGGTTTTTGCCAAGGAGTGGCATGCCCCTTCCCGGCCCCCTCCCGCTCTGCGATGTAGATGTGGCTCAACATTACCAACATGTGCGACAGGGAATTGTTGGCTCACGTCCATGGGCAGTCATGACTCTGTTGGTTAGGGCCAGGGCCCATGTTCACGCAACCAGATACACACGCTTCCCTCGTCGCCACGGCTGGATTCGCCTCGCGATGCTGTCAGGACGCACCCGGGTACCCATCGGTCGTTGAAAGCAGGCCTTTTTTGAGTCCCAGATGTCTGGTTACTTGAAGCGCCTTCCCACTTCAGTGATCGAGTGGCTTCACCGTTTCCCTCATCCCGAGGGGGCGGACGGAACCCACTTTTCCTTCAATGCCTTCCTACGTCGTGTTTCCACCTGCCTCTCCTGACCGATGCGTATCTCGGGCCGGACGAAAGGGGGGGATTGGGAAAGGGGGGGTTACGAAATTTGCTGCAAGCAGCTGGTTTCGGCCTCACCGAGGGGCCCATTCCTCGATACATAGCCGCCTCTGGCGCCGGGAGGCGCCGGGAAAATCAGCTACGTGAGCTGATTCTCAAACCCCCCCTTTGCTATCCCCCCCTTTTGCCCGACCCGAGTATCCGTTTCTTCCCGCAGGAGTTCGCTTGCACTCTCGCACGTTGCCGTCGGCTCCCGGGAGGTGCTCCTGCCTCGGGCCGGCGTTCCTGCAGCGGCGCCTCGCCGAGGGCCCCGAGGGCGCTCGGAGGGCGTCCGAGCCTGCAAGTCCTGAACGGCAGGGCTGGGCCCAGACGCTGTTTTGCTGGACTTCGGCAGTGTTTTCGTTGTTCGTTTTAGCAGGGAGGTACAGGACAACGGGTAGAGCAGAACGAAACACAAAACGAAAAACAAAAGGCAAAAGAGCGGTTAGGTCCAGCCCTGCTGAACGGTGGCTGCTGGAGACCCCAGTCATGACGTGAAAGCTAGACGTTGTTCGGGGTTCGGGTGCAAGTTTCCAATGGGGGTCTGCAAGTACACTGCACAGCCCATCTCGATGTGGGCGATCCGCTCCGATCGGGCTCTGCAAGCAAATCGGGGAGACCATCTCAATCTGGCCGACGATCCGATGCGGCTCGATGGCAACCCTTGTGCGGCTAGTCCAATTTGATCTCGACTCCGTGCCGATGCGGCCCGACCCGACGCAGGAAGTGGGAGGAGGGATGAGCAGGGTGTGGACTAGAACGTGGAGGAGAGGATGCGTGCGAGCCGCAAGTGCCCTCCAGGCGAGGGTGTGCGCGGGGAAGTCGACGTGGGAGAAACGAATGGGAGGAGATTGAGATAGCAGAAGTCGGCATGAACATACGACATACGCTTTGGGAGGTCCGCGCGGACCTAAGAAATATGACGTGTGTGCCGGCGCTTGTGTGTCTGAAGACCTGGCATCGCTCGGACGTGTGAATTTTCTCGGCGAGGACTCTCGAGGAGCAACCTGGATCATCTGAGATGATTCATCTCTTTAAAAGCAACAATCAGAGCCCCGAATCATCAGGGGTAACTCGGGTCAGGGATAACTCGGGTTCGTTTTCCGGGAATCCAAACCCGAGTTACCCCGGACCCGAGTTACCCCGGATAACTCGGGCGTCCAGAGCCCCGAATCATCAGGGATAACTCGGGTCAGGGCTAACTCGGGTTCCTTCTCTGGGAATCCAAACCCGAGTTACCCCGGACCCGAGTTACCCCGGATAATTCGGGCGCCTAAAACAACACGCACGAAGCCTGCAAATGCACGGGGAATGGACGTGCGAGCGATGTCAAGAAGAAGACGGAGGAGCTGAGGACGAGTGCGAGCAGCAGGCGGCCTCCATGCGAGGACGTGGGCGGGTGGGGGCTCGGGTGGACGAGGTGCTGTGCCGCCAGAAGTGGGGTGTCCTCGACTCGTCGCTGTCCTTCTGATTCCCCCCCTTCTCTGCCCGAGCGGCAGCACATGCGGGCGATGAAAAGAACGGGATTCCACACGGCGAGGACGTTCGCGCGACAGTTGCCCGCGCAAGTTCGTGCGGGAGCCCGGCGGCCTCCGTAAGCCACCGCCTCAGGCCGCCACTTTCTCTCGCGTAAGGCCCCCTCCGTGTTGTCGTCCACGTGTTGCGACCGATAAATTCCACTGATACATTCCAGCAGTATTTAGCACACTGGTCAGTGGTGTTCACGCTGGAAAGACACTGGTGATGAGGATAATGATGACGATGATATGATGAGGAAAATGATGATGATGATGCTGATGATGATGACGATGCCACTGGTGCTGAGGATGCTGCATTGTTCCGCAGTTTCACGTACTGTCAATGTTGTGCATGCTCTGCCGATGTGCCAGCGGCGCACTATCGGCAACTGCTCTTTGTTCCAATGTGAGGACGTATCCGAGGTGTACCAGTCAGCACGTGTACATTTTATATGCAGTTGCGTACACACATGTACATACAATTATATGCCCATATGTATACACAGGTATGTATATATGTGTTAATGTATGTATGCATGCATGCATGTAGGTATCCGTATGTATGTATGTCTTGATGGATGGATGTATGGATTGATGGAGGTGTGTGCATATATGTATGCATGTGTGTACGTATGGATATGTGTGTATGTGTGCGCTTGTATGCATGTATGCATGTGTATATGAATGTATGCATGCATGTATGCGGGTGTATGCATATACATTCACACGAACATGCACACACACACGTGTAACCTTACATTTACATGTACAAATGCATATACCTGTACTGTTGCATACACGTTTTGACATGTATACTATTATACACATACGCGGAAACCACATGTGTATGGGTACATCATACACGCAGGTATATACATACATCGTTGTACGCATACAGGTATACGGATATGCAATCATGCATGCATGCATGTATGCATGTACGCATACTTGCATACACACATACATACAACCACACATACATACACACATCAATACAAACCATATACCATTTGTGCATGTGTATAATTATACATATATTTACGCATGTAAGTGTTTGGGCCTGTACAAATACACATGCACATACACATACACACATACATCTACTTGGGGAACGAACTTGAGACCCAGAGGCCACGGCCTCGAACCCACAATCTGCCCCCCCCCCCCTGGGGCCTCCTGGGCCGCTCCCTGGCCGCTCAAGGCAGCCCTTTGGGGCGGTCCAAGAGCGCCCACGATGGCTTCCAGACTGCCCGAGAGGCTACCGAGAGCACCCAAAAGTGCCACAAAGGCGCTTCAGGACCGCCCAAGATAACCTCCTGGTGGCTTCCGTAGCCATTTTGGCTCAAGCATTCGGGCTTAAGCCTTTCTGACTCGAGCCGTTGAATAAGCTCTTTGGGCAGCTCAAGCCTGAGTGTGTTCGGGCTGAGGCTCCGAAGTAGACGGTGCGCGCAGATGGAGAATGAGCGTGATCCGCTCGTTCGTGAGGAAGCATCGTCCGCGACGGTGACCACTAGCAAAACGAAGTTCCGCATGTTGCTGTTGTCGCTGATCGCCATGTCCGCATCCGTCCTTGCGGCCCTCTTTCTGGAGTACCCGCACGGCCGAGAGACCTCTGTATCTCTCAGTCGCGAGTCGTCCAGCACAGTGGCAGTGAACCGCTCGATCGGCTGCTCAAACCAGGAGAGCATTTTCCTGCTACGGACTTGGACTGCTACCAGCGAAAGCCACTGTATCGAGCTTTGCAAGAAGCAGGCTGGCTGCACGAGCATGAACTACCAGCAAGCAGCATGCGCGGATAATGGAAGGCATGCTTGCTACCTGTACACCGGAGAGTGCAATACAGTGAAGGACACCTGCTTCAACTGGGCGGAGATTCCCCTCGATCAGCGCACGCCCGCCACATGGAGGCTACTTGGACCAAAACTTGGCTGCGGCAGCTGGGAAGATATCAAGCTCGAGCCGGTTTCCCACGCCAGAAACGCTGAAGAATGCAACGCCAGGTGCGCCAGTTTACCTGGTTGCAAGTATGGGCATTTCCAGTTTAGGTCTGGCCCTGTGGGCCGTTTGACCGCATTCAAGAACGCTTGCTACCTCCTCGGGGACGGGTGTACGTTGGGAGTCAACCCGTATTGGAACCTCTACCTCATGGGCAACCATGCGCCCCCGAACATGCCTGAGTTTTACCACTTTCACTTTATGATGTATCAGCCATGTCCGTCCTACCCTGCGCACGAACTTGGCCTTTGCGAATCCAGGTACGGCGACTATCTCCCAACCGTGGAGCCGATTCCGCAGCTTGCCAGGGACCTCATCGAGTCTGTTCCGGATCAGGCAGAAAATAATTGGGAAGACATGGAACATGCTATGACGTCAGCAGAGGAGTCATTCAGCCTTCCGTCTGCGGCCTTACAGTTCTCCGATTACGCCAGCTTCCCCAACCAAGAGCAGGTCCGTGGCAGGTCCACTTGGGGCAGCGAAAATTTTCAGAAGATGCAGTTTGATTCGAGCGGCTGGGCAGTGGAGGGCGGCCTCGGAGATGTTGACTCCGACCGCTACTGGTGTATGGATCAGGATGAGCGCACTTCGTCCGCGTCCTTTCCACAGACGCGAGAAGATCATGCATACGAGTTCGTCGGCTCGGAGCAGTTGGCAGGCGAGGAGCAACTCCACTTTATCTTAAAATATCCTGTAGAAAACGAGCCCGCTAAGTTCCAGGACGTGCACTATTGGGAGAACAAGAGAACCACCATACCGTTTGCGATCTTGATGCCCAATGGGACGCTGAATATGTTCGACCTCAAGACGTCGAAGATACTGGATGAGGACACTGCCGCGGTGATGGAGGCCGATTGTGAGACAAAGTTAGGGGATTCGATTGAGGAATCGTGCCAGCCTTGCGGCCTGCGCGCTGTTACGGAAAGCAAGTTCGTGCGCGCTATCACGGATTCCAGTATCGTGCCCTGGATGGCATCCAAGTGGAGGGACTTGGAGCGAGCACAAATTGACTTCTACATGGCCTGTGCGGCTACTGACACGCCCGAACTATTAGACGAGGAGGACGTCGCCCAGATTGCCCGTGCCGCCAGCGGACCGCCCTCGCGTGTGCAGAGGTTCGCCGCCTACCTGCAGCGCTCCGACTTGGTGTCGGGAATGCCGGACGCGTGTCGTAGCAACTGCCCAGAGCTTGTGGATCAGATGGTGGACCTCGCGACGGGCGACCCGGGGCTGTCGTGCGACGACGGGTCTGCGCGCGACGACGCCCTCGAGTTGCTGGGCTGCTGGTTCGACCCGGCGGCGCCCTCAGGGAGGGACCGCGCGAAGCTCCAGGGAGTTTGCACGCAGAGCAAGCTTGGATCCATCATCCTGGCTTACGTCAACTGCACCACGCAGCCTGATCTTGGAGACGCCAGAAGATTGCTGCAAGCGGGTCTCGGAGGCTCTATTTCGAAGGATGCCATCCGCGCGACGAGCCCGTCAACGATCAGCCTCAGCCAGCGTCATGAGTTGGTCGATGTGAACTTGAACGGTGGCGACGACGACGACGACGGCGAGGATGTAACAATCTCCTCTGGCAGTATCAGGAGACTGGCGCCCAAGAATCCGTTCCAATGCTCGATGGTCATCAACCCGCTTCCCCTACCTGGACCGGCGTGCCCGAATGGCGGCTTGGAGAAGTATGGCCAATGCTGGTATTTGAGTAAGAGGGGGACGAATTGCCGCGAAACTTGCCTCCTAGAACAACTAGTATTCCATTGGTTTGTCGTCAACAGTTCGCGTGGTTAGGAGCCCATCATCCCTCAGTTGAAACCCGTAGGTGACGACGTAGACAAGCGGGGACCATGGGCACCACTTGAGGCTCTGTGCTCGGCCGGCGACGAGCACTTTTTCCACACCGCTAGCACAGTGCCGCCCAATGACGCGACAAGGGATAAGTTCGACGGGCAGCCCTCCATGTTCTCAGACGGCCGTTGTCAGCTGGCATGCCCTTGCCAGACACCTGAACAGCAGCAAAGTGATATGGCGATGTTCCAGAAGTTTTTCGGCGCGGGTGGCCATTTCCCTTTGTCCAACTTGGCGTGTATTGGCATAGAAGTCAAGATTTCAGAACGGAACAAGTTCAAACTGGAAATTGCTCTGGGTCCTGTCTTTTCTCTCACGGCAGCAGGAAGTGCCGATGTATTGAAGGCGTTTCCAATCCTTCCCGCTCCTCCATTCTTCGGTGAAGTCACAATCGCGGGCCAGTTGTTGGTTGACTTACTCGAGTTTGACCCTCTCGATCCAAACTCTAGCGTGTGCTTGGTTGGTTCGGCCTCGCTAGAATTTGATTTCGGCATCGATCTCTGGATCATTCAGATTAGTTTGCTGAAGGCGGGGTTGGAGGTCGGTGTCAAATACGACCCGAACCTTCCAGGCTGCGCTCACATCGTATACGGGATTATATTTGTTCAGTTTCTGATCCTCAAGTTGTCAATGGAGCTTCGGTACCACACAGAGTTTCAGGACTTGAGTTTGCACCTGCACGTGTCGGTTAACATCAAGATCTTGTGGTGGTCTATCACAGAGGATATCGGGTCATGGAGGCTGATCGGATGATCCAGGAGCCCTTGCAGCTCCCCGTTCTCAGGCATGTATGTAGATACCTTCCGCGGCCGGTTTGTAACTATCGCCCTCCGCCTGTCGCCTGTCCTCAGCTTAGCATAGCAATGCCTATGCCGAGTCGGCGAGTATTCCTCTCTCTGGCTCCCCCCCTCCTCTTCCTCCGTCTACTCACTCCCTCCTCCTCCTCCTCCCTCCTTTTCCTTTCACGATCAGAATTAGTAGACCAGCATTGGGCAGGATCCGAGGGGAGCGGTGCTCTGGCGCCGCCTGGACCGCAGAAAGGAGACCCACCTTCTGCAGGCCCACGGCAACCTGGGGCTCCCCTTCACATTAATTTGAGCTTGATGTTCTGCGAGCGTCGCTCCATTTTCGATCCAAATTACTTGAAGTCCAGCTGTATGCGCTTTAGCTTGAACTTCCGCTCAACGCGCGGAAGCTTCGCTCAATTTTATAGTTCTCTTTTAGCTTGAGCTTGAACTTCCGCTCAATGCGCGGAAGCTTCGCTCCATTGGGTTTGCCGAGGTGGGCCTTGGACGCTCCAAAGGGTATGTAGGCAGCTGAAGTGGAATCATGCGGAATCCTATTTCGACCTGCGGCCGTCTGTATGTTTCATGGTTGCACGCCGAGTGGAACACGTCCACCGCGTCGACAACGAACATACTCTTTCGCGTTGCATGCCGAGTGGAATTCGTCCACCGCGCCCGCAACAGCTCCTCTGCCGCGTGGAATGTGATTCCATTGGTCCGCCAAAAAGGGTGTGTGGAAAGGGATTGAGATATGAAATGATATGATATGATATGCGCTTAGGGGGCATGTCTCCCTCGCCTCCGCGGGCCAGCACGCCTCACATCAGCATCACTCTCCCGCCCCCTTGCAAACGATGTGGAGTGGCCCCGCTTTCTGGCACTTGATGCCGTCGGAGCGGGCCTGCGGCGGCCGCCTGGCGCCAGCGATGACGCCGAAGCGGTGCCGCGTCGGCACGGGGGAACTCTCACCTCATGCCGATGGTGGGGTCAGCCTGCCTCCGCTAGGCGCAGCCTCCCCCGAACGCCGCCCTCTCTTCCGCTGAGGCGTATCCAGCAGCTGCCGTGCACGGACGCTGCCAGCTGCCGCCAATCTGCGCAGCTTCTCCATCCGTCTGCACGATCACGATGGTCAGGGCAGTCTCGCTGCTCAGCCGCGCATCTTCTGCAGCCCGTGCATCTGCCGCTCCATCACCCTGGTTAGCTCGTCCTTTGGCGCAGGAGGAGGAAAGCGGGCAGGGGACAGCCCTCTGGGCCAGCTTTCGGCAATTCCCCTCCCCGCCCGCGCCCGTCAAGGTTGTGCGACCGGCACAGGGGCGGCGGGCCCTCTCTCCAGGGCCCGCGGCCATCTTTGCCCGCCGCGCATGTTTTCCAATGCCGTTTGCCGTGGCACTGGCAGGGCGCCAATGAGCGCTCAATTTTGCGGTGCGTTGTAATTTTCTTTCCATTCCTCCCTCGCTCTCTCTCTGTCTCGTCGGCGTGACCGCAACGACGGCCCTCTGGAATCATCGGAGGAGTTGTGAAAAAAACCAAAAAAAAAAAAAAAAAAAACACTTCCTGGTGGCTCCAGAGGCCTCCAAGACGCCCCGAGAGCTTCGAGAGGCTCCAAAGAGGGCCCCAAAAAGTTAAAATCGTCACATTTTCGGCGACAAGCGTATATTTTCAATGCGTTCACCATTTTGGTGTTCACAGTGTCCACCGCCAAACTGTTCTCTTAAGATCGCCCCAAGACAGCCACAAAGGCACCCAATGAGGCATCAAAGCTGCCCAAGACAGGCTGAAGACGGCCCACGAGGCGCTCAAGACGGCCAGGGAGAGCCGCGACAGGGCTGTTAGAGGGGCCCAAAAAGGAGGTTTCGAGCTCACGTGTCGAGCCCTCCTCTGCCCCGAGGGGGCCCTCGAGACCGCCAGCAGGCCCCCAAGAGACCCCAAGATGCCCCCAGGACGCGCAACATCATTTCCAAGAGGCTCCCTAAACGGCCCCCCAGAGGCCCACTGTGTCCAAGACGCTCACCTAACAGGCTTCCTGAGAGAGCCGAACGTGCGTCCAAGAGGCCTCTGACCCGCAACCCGGGCACGGTGGCGGCGTTTGCACTGCCCAACCTTGTGCATTTGGCCCCGGGCCATCCCGGAGCGAGCCACACGATCGGGTGCCAAGAAGCAATCCCCCAAGAGAGAAACACCACGGCTCGAAGACCCCACGCTCACATCGTGGCAGCCACAACAGTACTGAGCTGTCCAACCACACTTGATGGACGGCCCACGGGCAGCCGAAGAGGGCCACAGAAAACCAGGATGGAACCCAAAGGCTCCCAAGACGCTACAATCTTCCACAAGGTAGCCCTCACATGGAACTTAATAAACTCCTCCTCCTCCCCCTTGTCATCGTCGTCGTCACCCTCGTCGTCGTCGTCGTCGTCCCCACGGGGGGAAGCCTGAGCCTAGAACATCTCAGGTCGTAGGAGCTAGGGAACAGAAGGGGGACGGGGGAAGAGGACGAGGGAGGAGGAGGAGGAGGAGGAGGAGGAGGAGGAGGAGGAGGAGAAGAAGGATGAAGAGGGTTCGGCCAGGACCCAGCGCCGTTGCAGCCCGCGTTCCGAGAGGCACCCAAGATGCCCCGACCTCACGATCCAGGTAAGGGGTGTGCCGACATGGGCGGGTCGGTGGGGTGCGAACCTTGGCTCTGGGGCTGTCGGTGGAGCTCCCAGCAGGGTGCGATCCGTGTACGGAGACAGTCAACATGCCCATAGGTACGTGACGTTTTGCGACCCGATAAGGGGGCTCCACCGAAGGCCTAAATGCCAGCGCTCGCATGCGCCCACCGCGCACATGTTGGCACGCGCCTCCCACGTTTCGTGGCCCCACAGGGAGCTTCACCGAATGCCCACATGCCAGCGCTCGCATGCGCCCACCGTGCCCATTTTGGCACACTCTCCCAAGTTTCGTGGCCCTTTCGGGAGCTTCACCGAAGGCCAAAACGCCAGCGCTCGCATGCTCCCACTTCATTCATGTTGGCCCATAACTCACGCGCATCGCGGCCCCATGGGGAGGTCCACCGAGTGCAGTGCACACAACGACGGTGCCCATAACTGCACATGGCTTGATATTTCGCCAGGCGAATTCAAACATGCCAATTTCTATCGGTATTCTGGGATACTGACCCAGATGAGCATATTTTCTTATGTTTGACGCATATTTGAAATATTATGGGAGACTACCCGACTACCCAGCTCAGCTTGGGTTGTTTCCCAGTAAGTAATGTTTCCGGGACGCATTGGAGAATCCATGCTAATGTTAGTTATTCTCCCAGTTTCTTCTCTCAGGCTGTGAGCCCCTGACGAAAGAAATTGAAAGAACCCCCAGGGCGACAAAAACGAGCTTCGAAGACGTGCGGTGTGAAACAGAGAGAGCCGCAGGTTGTTGAAACAGGAAAGGGGAAGACCATCAGAAGGAGGAGCAGAAGGAGGAGGAGGCGGACGACGAAGGAGGAGAAGGTAGAGGAGGGAGGTGAGGCGGACCTCTCCTCTTCCTCCTCCTCCTCCTCCTCCTCCTCCTCTTCCTCCCATCACTGCACAACTGCCGCTAGTGGATTCAAAGCAGTTCAACCGTGTTCCATGTAGTCACGTTCTTTCATGTGATATTTTACTAATATGTCCTGTCCTGTTCTCGACGGGCCCGCGTGACGTCGTGACGCCTGTGACGTTAGATGCGTCGTATGTAATGAGATTCCCCTTGACTTATGTGTTTCTCATTTGATTGAGTATCAATGTTATGCTCATCTCTGTCACCATATGCTTTGAGATGTCATCGTGTGATCTGGCCTGTGGCACTATGTTGTGACATGGTATGCTGTGTTATGTCAGGCTACGTTCTGGTATTACGATGTTCCGTGATGCGGGGGATGGGAAATTCAGAAGGAGGATTGGTATGAGGGTGGTGTGGTAGGAGGGGTTTGTGGAAGAGGATGACGGCCACCGAAGTCTCGACTACCCCGTTCCGAAGATCGCCCGGCACTTGTCCCTACGAGTTGTCGTCCCCGCTCACGTTTCATCGCGACAGAGTGTCTAGGTTTGTTCGAGTTGGGAGTGGAGGGAGGGGAAAAAGGATAGCAGAGGAAGGGGGACCAGATGAGGAGAGGGAACCTTGCTCGAGCACGGAGCAAGTAGAGGATTTAGGAGAGAGAGCTGGTGGAAGGAGTTAGCGGTGGGAGGGGAAGCAGGATGAGGAGGAGGAGGGACAGGTTTCTGAAAATGGGCAGGTCGACAGATGGACGAGGAGTTGGAAGAAAGGAGGAGGAGAAGACCTTACAGGAAAAGAAAGATGTGAACGAGGAGGAGGAGGAGGTAGAGGGCGAGGGGGAGGTTTCGAAAGCAGCTCCAATTCTTGATCGTTCTCCGCATCGAGGAAATGCAAACATGGAGTAAGCCGTGCGAGTTAGCGACGGCTCACTTTCATGCAAACTCGATGCGTTCCGTCGCCATATCATGCGGTATTGGCTTCATGTTTCCAGGGGGGACCGCTCATTTTCCCCGTTCTGTGGGCCACGCGCCATACCCACGGATCCGAAAACCATGTGAGCATTCGCCCGACTTCATCATGGTTCCCGCTTCCTGTCAAAAGCGTTCCACTTCCCTTCAGGAACGTCCTCCTGAACTACGGAAACACTCCGTGCACGATGATCTCATGGATCTGCATGGCTTTTACGATGATCGTGACCGGATGCCGCATCTCTTTCTCTTCCATGGCATTCTCGACCATTACCCTTTGTTTGTCTTCGCTCGCCGTCGTCGCCCGCGTCACCTTCCCACCTACAATACAGCCGTATGAACACGGCTTTCCTCTCTATCCCCAAGACGCTTTCGCGGCATCCAAACCTCTTCTGCGCATTTTGTCTTACAGGCTGTAGTTCCGGGGGTGGACAGAACACCCAACAGTGACACGTCGATTAGTGAATTGTCCGTGTTCGGCTCTCGAGAGGGCGCCGCGGCCGTTATTTTCCAGGCTTGCACCCGCCAGGTTTGGGCCTCAGGTCGTTTTCACTAAACCACGTTTTACTAAAGGGCGGTCTGTCCATCCCCGATAGTTCAATGTTTGCGGTTCTACTGGTTGGTTTGCGATCCGATGGCTTTCTGGGTTGCCAAATGGGTGCTCCCACCGGCGTGGGCCTCCTTTTTTCGGCTCGGCGCTGCTCTCCCCTCGCCGAGAACGGCCCTCTCGCCCGATCGCGGGCCACTTTTCTGGATCCGAATGCCCCCCCTCGTTTCCCCTCCTCCGCCTTCTCCAGGTCCTCCCGCTCCTCGCGCCCCTTTCACTCTGGTTCCGGCTCCTGCTGTTCGTCCTCGTCCTCCTTCCTCGTCCTCCCGTTTCCTCTTGCTCATCCTCCTGCTCACCTGCCACCTCCTCCTCCCCCTTCCATGTACGCAGCCCCTGTTTTCATACTGCGCATAGCAAGGTGGGGTCCTGTATGGAATTCCACATCGGCTATAACACGCGTTCGCAGATAGCGAAAACATCAGCACAATAGGAAGGGATGGGAGGGAGGGATAGGACGTTTGGCATGGCGCGAGCGCGCCTAGCTTTACCTGACCCTACTCATCCTCACTTCATCCTCGTTTCTCGTCCGACTCCTCCTCCCCTCCTCCTCCTCCTCCTTGCTCCTTCTTGCCTACGGATGCAGCGCAGCGGTCGTGCTCAACACATCCGATGTGGACCTCTTGCATGGGGTAGGTTTCGATGGGAACGCTGCATCGTTCTGCTTCGCTGATGTGTCGGTGATCCATCGGCGAAGGGACTTGATTTGACATCGTTTTGTATCCAGGCCCGCATCACCGACTCGTCGCTGCGTTGGCAATGGGGTGCGATACTGCTGCCCCCCAATTACCCTGACCTCATTTGGGCGCCTCTGTGCCACTCCTCCCCCTCCTTCCCCGCTATGTCATCCCCGCATTCTTCGTCTCCTCTTGCAGATCCTCCTCCATGCCCTAATTTCCCTCTCCTCATCCCCATCCTCCTTCCCCCCACCTCGGTCCCTCCCCCCTTTCTGCGGCTGCTCCTCCTCAACCCTCCTCCCTCCTGACTTGTGGCTCCTTATGTTCGTCCTCTTCCGTTCCGAATGTCCGTTCCTACCTCTTCCCCGCAGCAAAGACAGCCGCTCAGTTGGATTCATATCCACTCGGCGGCCGCGGTGACCGAGTGCGGGGTGTGCCGCCATCCAAACAAAAACAAAACTACGCTGAGTCCTGGAGAGAAATCCTCCGTCCTCCTCCTCGTCATCATCATCATCCTTCCTCCTTTCCTCAGATCCTTCGCCCCTCGTCCTCCTCCTACTAATTACCTTCAGATCCCCGTCCCCCGTCCTTCCCTTCTTGCTACCTTCGGATCCTCGTCGTCCTCCTTTTACCTTCAGCCCCTCAGGACCTCCAGATCCCCGCTTCCTCCTTCTGCCCGTCTTCAGCGGCCTTCAGCACAAACTTGCTCCATCTCATTCCCCTTACTCGCCTTCCCCCCCTACTCCCTTCCTCCCCCCCTCCTCCTCCGTCATCCCTCCTCCTCCCCTCCTCCCTCTCCTCCTCATTCCCCCTCTCCTCTGCTGCCTTCTTCTGCCCCCCCCTCCCACGCCGGCGAAGGTGACCTTCCCCCTGCAGTTCAAGATCGCTCGCGATGCCGTGACCCCCGCGATGGGCTTCAGCCTGCCCGCGGAGGCGGGCCTCCTTCCTCGGGCGCCCCCCCCCCACCCCAGCCCAGGGGAGAGACATAGGCGCGGAAGAGGAAGTGAGGTCGTCCCGAGGTATGAGATCGAGTTCGGTTCGGGGAGGGCACCACGGTGCAGGGCTGGACCTGAACGGTGTTTTGGCGATTTCGATGTCGTGGGCCGTTTTCGTTTCGATTTCGTTTTGCGGTAAAGGCGGATTGAAGACAAAACGAGGGAACACGAAAACAAAACGAAAACAAGACAACACCGTTCAGGTTCAGCCTTGCCACGATGCTCTTCGTGCCTGTTGGATGTTCTCGTGCATCCTGGGCAAGGGTACCCTCGGCGGATCTTCCTTCTGGCCGGCGGAGGGTCTCCTGTTCTTGAATTTGGGCGCCCGAGATGGGTACGGAAAGTATGCGCGCGATGCCCAGCAAGACATGTTCTCCAAAACCGACAGCGACCGCTGTTGGGCAGGCGGCCTTCTGTCTCGAGTGGACAGGTCCGGAGGCGGCATGGACAGCCAACCCGGTTCAAAATGGACATGGACTGCTGTTGGGCATCGTACCCACTCTTTTCGTACCCGCTTCTGAACGGGCGAAGAAAGGTATGACATATTTGTTTGTCCGTTGTGGGGGGCGCCTGTCCCAGGGCGGCTGGAAAGTCTATACCCTGCCGGTGGCGCGCCAAGGCATATTTTTTCCAGCCGCCCAGGGGCACGCGCCCCCGACATCGATTGGAGGGGGCGAACTGGGCCATCCAGGGGGTGGATGAACAAGTGGGCCGTTCATCGGGTGGATGGAAGCGCGGTGGTGCGAGAAATCACAGCTGGGATTGCGGATGGCTCGGCCGTCCACTTTCACCTCGTCCCTCAACCATCTTTGCTGGAATCAGCTCCTGCCAGCTAGACAGCCCTGGGCCCTCTCGACTGTCTCCACTTCTCTTGCGTATTTAATGGTCCCACTGGCTTTCGATCTCTTCTCCCTTCATGTTTTCTCAGTGTCCTCCACACCTGTACTGCTGCCCTTCTAGACGCGGTGCACTCGCCTCGACGTTGGGTTGTCAAAAAAAGGGGGAGGAGGAGGGGAGGAGGAGGAGAAGGAGGAGAAGGAGGAGGAGGGAGAGGTGATAATGGGATGAATGAGGGAGGAGGAGGAAAAGGAGGTTCATAAGGATGAGCATGGAGGACGATGAGGGAGGAGGGCGGGAGCAGGATTGCGGAGGATGATGGAGGAGGAAGGAGGGGGGGCGGAAGGATGAGGACATGTGAGGAGGAGGAGGAGGAGGAGGAGGAGGACGACGACGACGCGGGGCGAAAAGGGAGAAAAGGGACGACGAGGTGCGGGGCGAGAGGGCAGGAATGCTGGCGGGAGGGAGGGATGGAGGGAGGCATGGGAGCAGGAGAAGGGGAGGGAGAGGCGGGGTGGTTTGGGATCGGTGCAAGGGCGCCCTGGGTCGCGGGAGCCAAGGCGGCCAGGCGCGCGAGTACCCTTCCCCCGAGGCGCGGAACGCCTTTCCGAGGGAGCTCTGGGAAGGGGTTCCATGAGCCGGGTGGATGGCCCACTTGGGGCCTCGGAGCATCAGCCGGACGGATGGCCCACTTGGGGCCCTGGACCAGTGCAGGGGTACTGGGTGCCCCGGTGTGATGTTCCATGAGCCGGGTGGATGGCCCACTTGGGGCCTGGGGGCGGCGAGGGGGTTGCGCGCAGGGCGTGCGAGGGTCGGGGGCGTGCATGAGCCGGATGGATGGCCCACTTGGGGCCTCGGGGGGGGCGGCCTCCAGGAGCCGGGTGGATGGCCCACTTGGGGCCTCGGAGCATCAGCCGGACGGATGGCCCACTTGGGGCCTGCATTCGGCCTCCGCGGAACAGCGTTCGGGAAGGGCTGCGCGCCTTCCCGGAACAGCGTTCGGGAAGGGCTGGCGGCGGAGGGAATGGGGAGGGGTGGGAGCGGGAGAGCACGAGGTTGGAAGAAAGGGGCAAATGGAGGGAGGGAAGGGGAAGGGGACGGGGGAAGGCGAAATAGGACAGGGGAGCTGGGGGAAGGGAGGGGGAGGGGGGGGGGAGGGATGAGGGAGGCAGAGTGCGAGAGAAAATGGGCGCGGTTGGCAGATGTAAGTAGCGGGCTAGCATCAGTGAGGCGCTGAACGACACTGGTGTGGGACGCGGGGGCGACGACGACGACGACGACGACGACGACGACGCGGGGCGAAAAGGGGAGTGAAGGGAGAAAAGGGGAGGTGGCGGCGGAGGGGGCAAGGGGCTGCGCGGTGGGCGGAGGCAGGGGGAGGGCCAGCACGGGAGCGTGCACGGGGCAGACCAGGCGAAGTGGCCACTTCGGCGCCACAGAAAGGGCGCGGCGGTCGACGGGCACACCTAGGACGAGAAGGAGAGAGGGTGGCAGAACAGCAATTCCAAGGCTGCCCCTCGCAGACAATTTGGCTTCACTCGTGCGGCCTGATCCCGCTTCGAGGTGTCTCCATGTCGACGCGGTAGCGGGCCGTGGGCCGAGGCGACCGAACTGCTCCGAACGCTGGGCGGAAAGGCGTTCCAGAAATCTTGGAACGCCTCCCCGAAAGCCGTTCCATGCACCCTTTCGACGGCCCACCTTCTGGATGGCCCTGTTCGCCCCGCCTAAATCGAGCAAGTTTCTTTTGCATACCGCTCTTCGCCTACCGAAGCTTCGGCCGTGCCGGCTGCAGGCTGTTTCTCGTCCTGTCATGGGTCTGGCCGCCGAGGGAACGGGGACACGGGCGACCAAACTAAAACGGGGCTAGGATCGGGAAACAAAAACTCCGGAGCGCTCCGGAGCGCTCTCGGAGCGTCCCGGAACGCTCTGAGAGCGGCCGCGGCGCCCAAGACATCCTCCAAACCCGCCGATGTTCAGAGATTTCGAGTTCTCCCGATCCGATGTTCTCCCGATCTTCGCGTCGCTTTACAAACGGGGAGCGCTCCCCCCTGCCTCCGCGGGGCCGCGCGGCCCGCTCCGCGCGGCGGCCCCCATCGCACGCCCCGGGGGGCTCTCGGGCGCGCGCCCGTTTGCGCCGAGCGCCCGGAGGCCGCTGGCCTGCGCCGGGTGCGGGAGAGGGGGCCCAGGACCGCAAAACGACGCTCTGTGACGCGCGCAGGCGCGCGTCCGCGCAACGTGCAAATCACCGAAGGGCTTCGGTGGACAAGCGAGGGTTACCGTTAACAGACACACTCTCGGGATCATCGCCGGGTATACACAGGACTCGGGTATAACAAAAGTCGGTTTGCTACGCCCAGGGTTAGGATGGTCCACCTCATTGTAGTCTTGACCACCAGAAAGAATGTCGGCCACCAGAAACAAGTACGGTTACCCGAGGGTTTCCGCGTTCTGGGCCCTGGGAGCCACTCGTCCGACACTGTTCCAGCACTCTTTCGACACTCCTTCGACACTTTCCCAGGTGCTCGACATTATTTCTGGGATGTGGGTGTTGCTAGAAGTACCCCTGGTCCAAGATACTCCCAGGATTCTCGGGGTGGCCCAGACGGCCTCCAGGGCACCCCTCACGAGGCCCAGAGGGCCCCAGGGGCTCGAAAATGAAGCGAAAAGCTGGGGGCACCTTGGGCCAGGGGCACTTCTAGCAACACCCGATTTTTACAACACGAGGATCTGTTTCGAACGCCCTCGCAGTCCTGGCCTGGGGCCGCCTCGCCCGCACCGCTGCACGCGCGCAGCCTCTGCGCGCGAGGGCTCCGCAGCCGCTGCCGGCCACGACGAGGGTCTGGCGTCCGAAGCGCGTCGCCCACAAACAGTGGCCGAGGTCGAGAGCGCGCCCGGGGTCAGAGGAGGAAAAGATACTCATACCGCTAGCCCTTCCTCGTTTTCCTTTTTTGGGGCCTCCTCGGAGGCCCTCGTCGCCACGATCGGATTCGCCTCGAAATCCTGGTCAGAGCGAACCCCAGGAGAGGTCCAGGGGGTAGCGGTATCGGTACCTTTTGGTTTCCCCAAGCTGGCGACGCGAGATCCTGAGATGACACGTCCGCGGGTCTGCGGTCAAGTCGGGCGCGCCCCTTTTTACAGGAGGAACATGGAGGTGTATACTATGCCGGCTGATGGGGGCGATGTTTGGTGCATTTCTCAAATATCTTTAAATTTGTTTGTCTTCTTCAGAAAAATGCAATATTTTCTAAAACAAAAAAAAAAACGTACGTCCAAAATCCGCCAGACCCCGCGAGAGAGAGAGAGAGAGAGGGAACGCCCCCTCCCCTCCCCCCCCCCGGGCGCCCGAGGGCGAAACAAAAAGCGCCCGTCGGCGGCGGGGGGGCTCTTCTTCCTCCTCCTCCTCCTCCTGCTCCCCGAAGCGGCGCGATGGCCTCTACAGGGGGAATATTCAGAGGTAGTCCAAACATTGTCGGGGACGATTTCTTGACAATCGTCGAACCTTTCCAGAGCATTCCTGAATCTGTTTTTTTGTCGCCCAAGATCCGCCGGCGCCCAAAATCCGCCTGTAGGAGCACATGCCCGACCCAAGCCCCAGTCTGGACCGGAACTCAAGAGCAACAGTGCGGAAGTCTCATTGCCAGACATGTTCGGGGCCCAAAGAGACGGGGGCCGATGCAAACGCGCATCAGTCAGGGCGCCGAATTTTGCAGGATCGTGCAGTGCCGATGGTGCATTGACCCGGGCTTGGGCACAGCATCCTGCAGGATCCTGCAAGGCCGGACTGGCCCGGGTCTGGACTGACCATAGCCAGTAGATCCCCGACCTACATATGGAGGCGTCGCATGCGTGACAAGGGACGCGCGCACCACAAAAAAACTGCCAGGGCAACGTTTGACCAGGCCCGCGCACGAAGCAACACGAGTGTCGGACCAGACCTCCCGCCAGCACAGACAGAAACTGAACATGTTTGCGCTCCGTGTCGAGGCGGCGGCCGCATCCTGCCCAGACCTGCGCATGAGGACGCTGCGCGCGTGGTCCGGGGCGTGCGCCGCAGAAACTGCCGAGGCACAGCTCGACCATGCGCGCGCACGAGGCAGCGCG